GAGGAGATTAACAGCAAGAGAGGAAGGAGAAGAAATTCATGGCAAGAGAGGAAGGAGAAGAAATTCATGGCTAGAGATAAGGGAGAAGAGAGAGAGGCGTTTTTGAGATAGAGAGAGACTTTATTGTTAATATAATTAGGTTAAACTCTCCTTATATATAGAGAGAAAAATTCGTTTAAGTAGACTTCTTTTTGAAGTCTGCTCGAGAAGTTTACTGGAGAAGTCTTCTCTTTGAAGTCTACTGGAAAAGTCTACTCGAGAAGTCTGCTGGAGAAGACTAATTCGGCTCGATAAGTCTACAAAAGAAGTCTACTTCGGTCCGAGAAGTCTACTCGAGAAGTCACTCAGGAAGTCTGCTTAACCTTAAACCCTAAATTTTGTTTATTTATTAAAACTTATATGAAAACATAAATTTACTTACCATATTGACAACCACAGTTAAAATAACAAATATATGAACCCTAATTCATTAACCAAACTATAAACTATGATTCATATAGAATTTGTGCAAACCCTAAGAATTATACTCTTATACCATAAACCCTAAATCTCAACCCTAACCCTTTTGAATTGTATACTCATGAAACTTATAAATTGATTCAGTTTCATGAAATCTTATTTTATATAGATGTTAATTGTATATATTTTAGTTGTGTATATAATTGTTTTACCAAATTATTTTTCATAATTTTTTTAATTAATGGTAAAAAAATTATTAGAGAGTAGACGTCTCTAAGAAGTCTACTCGAGAAGTCTACATAGTATTGATTTCTAACCTAATTTATTCATGATGATTTAAATTGATTATTTTGTATCAAATTTTATTTTTAATAGGAGTAAAAAATATATGTTTTTGTTATGTATGTAATCGTTTTACCAAATTATTTTTCCTGATTTTTTTAATTAATGGTAAAGAAATTATTAGAGAGTAGACTTTTCTGGGATAAAACAGTAATTGAGGCTAGCATTTTTTTGTTTGATCATAAGGGTTAAAGTTGTAATTTTACTATCTCTATGAGTTATTTTGTTAAACATGCAATATGAGGTCTAGTTTTGCATTTCAACTCAAGTTTTGAGTCATATTCAGCAATTTCCCCAAAATTAAAAGCAGAAAGTTACTGGAGGATGAACAAATAGTAAATACTTGGGTAATTGCACAAATCATTGTTAAATCACACCACCAAAAGATTTAGAAACAAGGATCCAAATAACATTTTTTTTTGGTTAAATCAAAATAAAATTTAATTCGGAAAAAGCTTGTACCATACTAGACCTATTGAAAATAGTTTTAAGACTTCTTCCACATTTTATGGTAAGTTCACTAAATCTCTTCTTGTAATGTTTCAGTAATGTATATCTAAATTATTAAGAATTTTTGCTATAAAAGAATTATTATGAAGTTTTTGGTTAAAATTAAAGAGAAATTGACACAAAATAACCCATAATTAAAAAAATATTATGAAAGATAAACTATTTTAAGAGAAAATTGTAAAAATAGACTTGTGTAAAAAGTTTTCATATATAATTATTTTTTCAGTACAAACTAATGATAGCTTAAATATAGATTAAAATTAAACTAATTAATTATATAATTATAATAGACTAAATACAGACTAATTATAATGCTCAACTGTTCTGGCCCCATGTCCTCTTTCGGGTCTGTGGAGTTCATCACTGTGCAATGGCTGGTTTGTTTGCCGGGAGGTATGAAAATCATGATATTGACTCTGCAATTACCACATGATCTCTCTCTGTGTTTTATCCTCACTCACATGATATTAGAAATCACTTTCCAATAAGTTATTTATCTCAGTCCTACACCAGCTCAATTAAGCTTAGTTGAAGAGCTCTCATGACCAATGATCAAAAAGATAAATGTAATTTAGTAATATAGGTAACCATATCAATTTTTTGTAAACTTTTTCACATATATATTTATATTTCTGAAATCAGAATATTACACTAATAATAGATTAAAAACAAACTAATAATAAACTAACCGTAAATTGAAGGCACATTAGTAAATTCCACTTACAACTTTTCCTATGATAGTTTTTTTTCATATTTAAATTATTAAATAGATTATTTAAATAAATGACTCAAAATTATTTTGTTCATAGTTACCGAAAATATGTGCTATGAATCATATGTTCAGACTAGTCTCACACACATCGGTGGTCTTTCATTTGGATTTGGGATTGGACATATTTATTAGATTGCTAACTTGCAGATATGTTAAATGATCTGCGTGCTAAATAGCAAGTAACAAATATATATGTGACGTTACCTCTCGCTTTTAGTCAATAATCAGTTTCGATTATTTTCTCCGTGGTTTGATCGGATATAAAATCAACAAATATTAAATTGGATTAAATCAATTTTCTTCCTATCGTCGACACTTTCATAGACTTGAGAATTTTCATCGTTAGGAGGTCTCTTTCGTAGCCCCTATGTACACGTCAATGGGCAATAACCAAGGTATTTTGATCTAACTTAGTAAAGCTCTAATTCAATACGTGTGTTACTATTACTTGTCCTCGGCCTTCAGATTTCAGGTTCCTTTCGCATGACGAACCAGTTACGTTCACGTTATATAACGATGCAAGAACACATGCATTTTGCATTATCCAACGCAACGTGAACCCATACCCAATAAATACCAAAACAAACCTCAAATGTTCCTTCAAATATATAAAATTACAATCAAAATCCAAACAATTTATCATCATATATATAGCTAATTAACTAACATGAAGATCTTCGCATTGATACTCGTTGTTTTTGTCATACTTTCCACAGCATTTCCGGCTCCCATCAAATCGGCAGACACCGACGTAGCAGGGGCATGCGACGCAAGGCTGCTTCAGCCTTGCCTGGCCGCGATCACGGGAGGAGGACAACCCTCGGCTGATTGTTGTGCAAAGCTGAAAGATCAACAACCCTGCTTGTGTGGTTTTTCTAAGAACCCTGCGTTTGCCCAATACATTAACTCTCCGAACTCTCGCAAGGTCCTCGCCGCTTGTGGTGTTGCTACTCCAAGTTGTTAAAGCTCTAGAGAGTTAATAAACAAATAAAAGAGTAGAAATGATACTTTATTAAACGTTTTAAACAATAAAACCGTTAATTCGTGTTATTGTAATGGTTTATACGGTTAAATAAAGTTTATTTTCTAATTAATTAAAACTTTGCTTTCTCGGGTAAACTGATGATCAAATGCCAAAACACTCCAAAAGATCAATTTGATTTTAAATGTTCAATAGTAAAAAAGTGCACTCTGGAGAATAAATGGGGGGAATAAAAATTGATGGTAGTTTAGCTTCTGACGGAATTTAAGATTAGAGCAGTCTCCCATCTAAGTATTTTATAATAAAAAAATAGAAAATAGTGTAAAAGCATGAGAGAAAAAGAGAGACGGTTTTTACTTTAAAAGACTTTCAAATACGGTCTTTAAGCTTAACAATTATGTATCTGATCTGATTTTTTTTTTTTTTTTGTCATCTGGAAATTTTCATTCATAGAGAAATACAACTGAGGGATGCAAGGTGAAATACAAAGCCAATAAAGGACATAGCTTTTCCGGTAACCAAATCCCAAACAACAGGATACAAAAACTAATATACAGAAAAACCCAACTAAAATAGAACTAATTTAACTTAAGATCTAACAATAACATTAGCCTCAAAAACTGCAAATTCTCAAAACTTTAAGAAATCTATAAGCCAGATTTACCGTTGCCGCCCCCGGTCCACCGAACAGTAACATCTTCTTCTTGTAGCCAGAAACCGAAGACTTCATAACCCGCCAAGATAGAACCTCCAAAAGATTCTTCATACTCCCGGCTGCGGCAGCAAAACGCTCACAAGCGCCCATTTTCGCCTAGATAGAAGATCCAAAGAAAAAACATCCAAATCTCAACAGATCTGAAAATAAACGAAGACAAAACATCCACTCAAAACTGCACACAACACTCAACCGGCGGTAAAGAAGGAATGAAGAGCACCCATAGCAAAACTATCAAAGAGAAAAAACTTGCAGAACAGAGGCAAAACATCAAGTAGATAATAATCAAATCATCTCTTTAGAAAGGAGAAAAGACTAGAAACCTTTAACCACCCATAGATCTAAACAAAGGAAAACAAAAGAGATCGGATCTGAGCAGATGGAATTAAGATCCGACAAGGCCTCTTGCAATCCCAACTGAACTCAGATCCAAACAGATCTACCAAAGCTTCAACTAGAAGACACAACCTAAAAAACAAAGCAAAGTAAACCCGACTCCGGTGCTAGAAAAGCCACCGGAGTCGAAAAACACAAGACAGCGGCGGCAGACTTTTTTAGAGAGAAGATAGAGCAAAATTAGGTTAGAGAGAGAAAAGAAGTGTCGGTGATACGTAATGTGTATCTGATCTGATTGATTCAATTTTTTTTTTAAATTTAAAATTTTATTTATATTATTATAATATAAGTGAGATACGTTAAGAGCATCTCCAATGATAGAATTCTTAAAACAAGTATTTTAACTATTATTTTATTATCATTTAAAATATATATTTAAATTTTAATATTTAAAAGAAATTATGTCAATCAAAACAAAATAATTGTATAAGTGAGTCTCTTAAAAACTTAAAATCAACTCTTATTTGAGAGATTTTAGAATTTTCTCTCTCATATTTCTTCTAACTTTTTATTTTTTTTCCTTTTCTTAATAGTAAGATACTTACCATAAGAAACTCCATTGCACATGGTCTAAGAGACGATCCGTTGCGGATTGGCTAATGGAAAAACCAAAAACTGTGGAACATCATGTAAAGTATTTAAGTCTATCGTTTGAACAAACCCACCAAATAAAACCCTTAAACAAATGAAGACAAACGGAGAGGGAAAATTAGATTATTTGACGTAAGAAAACAAAAATTATATTAATTGGTTGATATATAGAAGCAGCAGAGGCTTAATAATTGCTTAACGAATCAAGAACGTAGATCAAATATTATAGAACACAGCATTTATGTTTGATATACACTAAGAGAAATGACAATTCTATAAAATAGGAACTAAAAGAAGAAGATTGATATTCGAAATGACAGTTCTTATGCTTAATGTTGTGATTCATTAGCTTATGGTATAGGCAACAAGAAAATCCCTTATTGACCATATATAATTGGAACTCATATTCATATACATGGTACTAACAGAACTACTTCTCCAACCCTTCTGCAGATGAAAAAAAAAAAAATCAACTTTACGTTATCTAGCTACTTTATAAGCACAGAGAACCAAAATAGATCCCAAAGGCAGATAACACCACCAATTGAATCAATTGATAGTGAGCAGTCTCTGCATGTCCTCCTTGCATCTTGTTGTTATATTAGAACCGAAAAAAACTACTCATTTCATCGCCATGAAAGTTTCTCGAAGATTCACAATCAAAGATCAATAGTTTCTCCATGTAATCTGCCAACACAATAAATAAATAATCAAAACCAGTGATCTATAATACAATCCTAAATTTTTTGTTGGATATTTAGTATTTTGTTTAGTTAGTGGTTAAAGCTAACCCGCATTCACTTCCTGTTTCTCTCTGTCTCTACGTATCTTCATGTATCTTGCGCTTTGGCTGCATAGCGGTTCAGTAGTTTCTTGAATAGTAATCTTCCCATAGTCTGCAAAATATTTACAGTCAGTTGTATATATATACAGCATATATATATATTCTATGAAGTTTATGTCACATGCTTACCGCACGCATTCTCTTCCTGCTTCCTCTTCTCTCTTCAGTGCTGTCCCCACAATCCTCATGGTGTTCAGTCTCATGCTTAATGCATACCTCAGGTGACTTCTTGCTTCTCTCTGTCTCTACATCACTGCCTCCACATTCTTCACCTTGTTTCATCTTATGGCATCCATCATCACTAACCATATCTTCTTCATCAGCTTCACAAACATGTGGAAGACTCTTTGGATCATAAACTCCGTCATAGAGTCGCACACCCCATCCTTTTAATCTGAACGTAGAGTCCCATTGCCAACTACTAATTTTAATCTCCACATCCACGTGATTGTATTTAGGTTGAACAAGAAGAGCATTGTCTTTGTTGAGAGGGATACAACAGTCGAATATAAACAGCCTACTATCCTTCTTAAGTGTGCGGAAGCTATGTCGCTCAGAGGAATCAAAGATGTTCCCACATTCGTCTTTGAACCGACAATTTACATGGATATTTAATCCATTGAGACCAGTTCTAGGCAAAGAGTCGAAAGCAACCACAGCGCAAGCCCTAAATCTGAAAAAATGTTGCGTGATAGAAGTTTCAAGTAGAGGGACAGTCAGAGAGGAGGATGTTTCAGTAGTACGGTATGGGAAATATGAAGGCACTTCTTCACCAAGCAAGATCATGAACTTGAAGCAAACAAATAGTTGCTGAAAGAGAACTTCTTGATTAAACTTAAAGCAGTTGATGAAGCCAACTTTTGTGATAAACTTATCTGGAAGTAATGAGGAAGCCTCCTCAGGAACAATGTCAGTATTGCATGCTTCTATTGCCACATCACTTGAAGTTTGGCCACTCAGATCAGCTCCGTTCAATGCCTCGCAGTGTGAAAAGTCAACAGTCTCAAGGTGTAGAAGTTTAGAAATGTCTAGGTGTACATATTCCAACTTGCTACAACTTTCCATAGTTAGGTATTTGAGCTTAGAGAAGTTGTCGATCCACCAAGGAACCTCTTCAATCGCGGTGTAGCTTAGATCGAGATCTGAGATGTTGGTTGAGATATTAGGAAAAGTCATCAACCTTGAGCATCTTGTGAGATTGAGGGTATCAAGAGATTTGAGGTTGATGCCTGTGGGAAGAGTTTCAAGATTTATGCATCTACTAATCTTCAAATCTTTCAGGTTACTGAGATTCTGAATGGAGGAAGGAAGCTCCACTAAACTTGGGATATTCGAGAGATATAACTCTGTCAAAGAGGGAGATAACATCGCCATGAAGGGCGTAACCAGCTGAACCATATAAACATCATAGAGATGTTAAACATTTGAACCCAAAAATGCAAGAGATGTTAAAAAAATAAAAAGCTTTATAATTCCTTTGACATCATCTATCTTTTCATCTATGTGACTTTATATGTATAAAGTATTTATAATTCCTATGACTCCTTCATTCCTGTGTTTTAACGTAAATTATCTTAATCAAGAACGCAGAGTATAGTATTTTAATAACCATAATGGTACCACGTTTAGAAAAATACGTCTAGTGACAATGATTTCTTGTAAATGTTTTAGTAAAAGAAAATGGAGAAAAACGTTTGAGTTTATAATTACATACCTGTACTTTTTCCCATAGTTTCTTTATTGTTATCTTTGACATGCGAAGCTTAACAAGATTCTTGAGACGCAAATTCGAGGGAAATTCTTCAATGTTTGTTTCCTCCAGAAAAAGAAATGACACGTTGGTCGATATTTTGGGAAAAGTCCTCAGCCGTGAGCAGAAACTGAAATTGAGGTGATCGAGGGATTTGAGGTCAATTCCAGTTGGGAGAGTATCCAGCTTTTTGCAGAACTGCATGTCCAATTTCACCAATTTATTAAGATTTCGGATTGTGGAAGGAAGCTCTACTAAACTCCTACAAGACTGAAGATTAAGCTTCTCCAGATTGGCGGCCATCGAAAGATCTGGAATTTCTTTCAGGTTGTGAGATCCACACAAATCCATCTCATTGAGACATTTAAGAGACTGTACTCAACCATTACAAAAGAAGACATAAAGATTAGTAGAAATTACACATCACATGATATGAAATAAGCATTGTAATCTCCCACATATCACATGACATGAAATAAGCAGTGTAATCTCCCTACGTTAGTAACATCACATGGTTGAATGGTATGGTATGTAGATTTTTTATATTTTCAAAACGTGAAAACGTGATTATGCTATTTTGGAAGAAATATTTTAAAATGACCTAAAATGATAAAATAATGTGAAATGTGTACTCCATTGAAGAAAAATTGTAAAAATAACCCACTTTTACGATTTTTATAAATACTAGCGCTACCCTTCTAACTACTGTTATTTGTAGACTAATGACACACTAACAACAGACTAAATGCAGACTACTGGTAGACTGATTGATCAAATAATTGTATGTAAACTACTAACAGATTAATGGTAGACTAATTATAAATTACTAGCAGATTAAATCAGATTAAAAGCAAACTAGTTAATCTTTTTATAGGTCATGTATTGAAGGATCATGTTTCAAGAGTGAGTTATTTCAAAAACTATCTTTTTTTTTTATCATTCACGATATTCATAAAATCATGTTTTCAGTTTTGAAAAGTGAACAACTATTCTCTAAACTTACCATAACTCCCTCCCACAACTTCTCTAGCTTGCTGTTTTGCATTTTGAGCTTGACGAGTTTATCGGTACAAAACGTAGAAGGCATACATGGCATTGGATACCCAGACCAATACAGTAGTTTGAGTTTAGGAGGCAAACAGTCGAAGCTTTTGGGTAACTTTAATTTGTCTCCTTTTCCAAACCTAACTTTGTTCGAGAAAATATCTAGGAAACGGAGATTACGCATCCCTTTGAATGCATTCTCATGTACATGCAACTCATCCATTTCATCAATATCCAATGATATACCTAAAAGCTTTGGAGTACCCTGAAAATTATAATATCAATAAGAAAGAGACCAAATCCATCAGATCAAGCTCAACCTCTATAATTGATCGTATATATATAATGACATGTTCTTAAACTTATAGCCTTATATAATATAGTAATAAAAGGACCAAGGATTAAAAAAAAACTTACAATGCTTTCAGTGAGTACATCACATATATCTTTTGAATCCACAAGAAACTCCCGCTTTTGAGGTTTTTTAATGGACTGCAAGCGAACCATATTTTTACCCATTTCTTGTAGCAAGTGGTGCATCTCAACTTTACCCCATCTTATATGAATGAGAGACTTATTGACTAGGTTTTTCAACCCTATATCAACATCCAACTCACTATCTTCAAGAAACATCTTGATGTCTTTCACTTCCACATGATTGAAAAGGCATGCAATATGACGAAATATCGCTTTATCTTCTCTGAGCAACCCATCATAACCAACTCTTAGCGTGTCTTCAATTTTACCATCTAGACTTCTTCTAAGCCTAGGCAACATATTCAAACAGTCTTCCTTGTTCAACCCTCGCAAAGACGAACCCAAAACATCAAGACCCAAAGGAAGATTACCAGCGTGTTCTACAACTTCAGAAGCAAACTCCATCAAACCATCAGGCGGAGAGTCTTGCCTAAAAGCAGATCGACAAAAAATCTCTAGAGCTGCTTCATCGGATGGTAGACCAACCTCATAAATAGAATCAATCCCATGAGCTTTTAAAAGATGCTTATCAGTTGTAACCACAATAATTCTACTCCCACTTCCAAACCATTTGGTTTGACCCGCTAAGGCATCTAGCACGTATTGATCATCCAAATCATCAATAACAACAAGAACTTTCTGGTGCTTTAGCCTTTCTTCCATTGCACCGATCTTCATGTTCTTTTTGTCCAAAATTTCAGACAAGAAATTTATTCGCAAGCGCAACTTCATGTTATAGTCAACTGGATTGGCTCGACCGTAAATTTCCATACTCCTCGATATGAAGGCTCTATCTATGAAAACACTACTTTGGAACTGATTAGAAATATTACTAAATAAAGCTCTTGCAATAGTAGTCTTTCCAATTCCCGACGTGCCCCATATCCCAACCATCTTCACTTCCTTGGATTCCATATGCATCAATAATATCACCTCTGCGATATGATCTTTGATGCCGACAAAATCCTCAAACTCGTTTGTTTGATTTAAATCCAATTTACCTAATATATCACTAGAGATTTCTTCAATCATTGCAGCTTCACTATCACTAACGAGAAGAAAAAAGCCCATGCACAAACGTGAAAAAAACAAATATCAATAATCACATCTCAAAAAGAAAGCATTTTATTTAAGACATATATATATATATACCAGTTCTTGGAATGATATCCGAGGATATTTGCAACTTCGGTCAGAGCTTGCTTCCATTGATTTTTCACTTTATGTGTTTGGTTTTGGCAAGTCTTTTCAAAGGCCTCTCCAAAGTCTCCTGATTGTTTTCTAAGATGCGAAGGATCCAAATCGTAGAAAATTGGTATTACTAGTTGCCCCAACTCTTCATTGCATTGTAGAATCTCAAGTAACTCATTTAGACACCAGCTTGAAGAGGCGTAGTTTTTGGAGAATACGATCACTGCAATCCTTGAGTCTCTAATCGCATTTACAAGCTCCGGGGCGATTGACTGGCTTCTCTCCATCTCGTTGTCTTTGAAAGCAATGATCGATTTACGTTCCAGCTCCCTGAGAAAGTGGCTGAGGAATGTTTTGCGGACATCCTCTCCGCTGAAGCTTGGGAAAACATCATAGGACCAATTGCGAGAAGAGGAGGAGAAGGAGGAACAAGAAGCCACAACGAGAGGAGGCAACATATCTTAAGAAGAATCACAACGTGGTGATTCGTGAAAGATAATAAAAGATCAAAGAAACAGAACCGTTCTAATCAAACGTATGAAACCGTAGATTGCCTATACTACACAGCACTAGCAAAGTGGTGACTTACAATTTCCAAAAGTGTTTCTCAGATTGTTCTGATGCAACTTGATGAAAGTTTCCTCCTTTGAAAAGTATCGTGACTTAATCACCACCACACAACTAAATTCATAGCTTCTTACCCTTACAATAATATCTGATTTCTTTATTTTATTTTATTTTTACTAGATGTAGCAATAATTGGGCAGCGGTTTACCAAATGTTCAAATCATTTTTAAGAAGTTTCAACGAATCGTTTTTCTTCTTTCTACGTTATTTCCTCAAGCTTGGCAACACTATCTCGTGTTGAGAAAATCTACAAAAAGACGATCTCATTTTATAGCAAAGTTAAAACCATGAATGTTTGCATCGTTTTTAGTTTTTAATTTTGGTTTTTGGTTTTACTGTAGGTTTTAGCTTTTTAAAAAACTTGAATAGTAATCTTTTGGCAACAATATCTCTCGTGTTGAGAAAATGCTACAAAAACACGATCTCATGTTGTAGCAAAGTTTACAAGTTTTGAGTGGAGATATGTCGAACCAGTACAAGATAAATTATGCTTATCTCGGTATCAAATAGTCTTAAAAAACATGATTTGGTTAGTAATCTATATATATTTATAAAGAAACTTTTTATATCTTCTCATCTTATTGTTCTATTCAGCCTCTATATCATTAATTACTTTTTGTTTATTTTTTTTTAAATTCACAGCTTAACATTTAGACTCAGTTATAATATTGAAAAACAATAAATAAACTGAATTATACTTTTATAAGCAAAAATTGTTTTTTTTAACAAATATTAGCAAACAGTTGTAAAGCATTATCAGAAAATAATCAATCAATAAAAACATAAAAAATAAATAAACAAAAAATAATATATATTAGTTCTGGGTAATTCAGAATTTAAAATGGTAATTTATGGATATATAATAAAAATAAATAATTTGAGAAAGGAAAAACAATTTCGTAAGAAAAACTGTTAAAAACAGAAAAAGAAAATTAATAAACATTAACAAACAGTTATAGATAAACAATCAATAAAATATGATAAATTAAATTAATTTTCCACTGTTACCTATACACTAGTGTCATTATATAAGTCTACTAGTCTATTTATTGTTATCGGTTGCTTTGTTGTGGCATGGTAAACTTAGTGTTTAAATCTCCACTCCAGTTCCACAAGTTTCTATTTTTTTTTTTTGCTGCGAATAATCCTCTTCATCTTTACACGCCTTTTTAATTGCATTGTTATGTTGATGAGTTTTTGTTGAGATCGTGAATCATCGCATTTACCTCCTCCAGTTTTTGTTGTAATTCCTCTATTTGGAGAAAGTGGCGGTAGATTATCTCGGAGAATTATTCGCTTTCACATAATCTGCGGAATTTGTAGAGGCACTGGATGAAATAACAGAAGTGGTCTCATCGACGGATAATGAAGGTTTAACAAGACTGGTGACAGAAGAAGAGGTTTGCACAACGCTGTTTATGATGCATCCCAAGAAGTCTCTAGGTCCGGATGTGATGGCAGCACTTTCTATCAACAATCATGTTCAATTACAAAGTAGGAGTTGGTTAAAATGGTGAATGATTTTTTAATATCTAGAGCTTTTGATCGGAAATTAAATGTGACGAATATTTGTCTCATTGCAAAAACGGAGAGACCCAATATGGTAGAAATGCGGCAAACAACTTATGTAATATGGGATACAAAATAATTTCAAAAGTACTATGTCAACGGTTCGATGGATACTACCTAGACTTGTTTCTGAAACACAGTCTACCTTTGTGGCTGAGAAGCTGATATCAGATAATATTTTAATTGCACAAGAGATGTTTTATGGCTTAAGAACGAATAAATCTTACAAGAGCAAATACATGGCAGTCAAGACAGATATGAGCAAAGTATATGATCATATTGAATGACTATTAACAGAACATCTTCTCTGGAAAATAGGTTTTGCGAAAAAATGGATCACCTAGGTAATGTGGTGTATACAACCGGTGCAATAAAAAGTACTTACTAATGGTCATGCGAGAGGACACATTATACCAAAGAGAGGACTCATACAAAGAGATCATCTATCCCCTTATTTGAGTTTCCTTTGCACAGAAGTATTAGTAGCAAGTCTGAAAAAAACCAAGCGTTTAAATCTTATCACAGGGATGAAAGTAGCCCGTGCCTGTCCCCCAATCACACACCTATTTTTTGCGGATGTTAGTCTTTTTCCTGAAAGGCTATAAAAGAGGAAACGAATGTATTGCTAAATATTTTGAAACAATATGAGTTAGTAGGGGTTATTGGTTCTTGTATCTTGGTGGATTTAGAAATCTTATTTGGATTTGATAAATTTATTGATTTCAAAATCAGAAAAAAAAAAAAAAAAAATCAAATCCACTCAAATACCAAGGATTTTCATGACTAAAATAGAAATACTCAAATACAAGGTCTAACCTTGGTATTTGAGTGGATTTGATTTTTTTCTATTTTGCTGATTTTGAAATCAATAAATTTATCAAATCCAAAGAAGATTTCTAAATCCACCAAAATACAAGAACCAATAACCCCTACTGAGTCTTTGTATTTTAGTCATGAAAATCCTTCCAAATTCATTCAAATTCAATTAAAACTCAAATATTTATAATATTTAGATTTTAAAATGATAGAACCAATAACACTGTATTTTATTATGGATTTTAAAATCATAGAACCAATAACACTGTATTTCAATATAGATTTTAAAATACAAGAAGCAATAACACTGAATTTGGTTTGGATTCTCAAATCCATTAAAATACAAGAACCAATAACACCTCCTTAGTATCGGGACAGCAGATAAATTTCGCAAAATCCTCGGTCCAATTTGATTATACAGTGGATCCCACAATAAAGGAAGAGATTCACCAAAATTTAGGGATTGTGAACATTGGAGGAATGGGAACATATCTTGGGAGAGCTTAGGTGGTGCTAAGACTAATATTTTTAGTTATCTTATTGACTGACAATAGAGGCGGATAAATGGCTGGACGTCAAGATTGCTCTCTAAAGCAGGAAAAGATGTATTGATCAAATCTGTTGCATCAGCGACATCGATTTACACCATGTCGTGTTTCCGAGTACCGCAAACGATCACGAAAAAACTGACAAGTATGATAGCTTAATTTTAGTGGAGCACTAACGGACATACACGAGGAATGCACTGGTTGGCATGGAAGAAATTGTGTAAGCACAAAATGGATGATGGGATAGGATTTAGAATAATTGAGGACTTTAACACGGCATTACTGACTAAACAACTATGGCGAATTATTGACTACCCGGAGTCCTTGTTTGCACAAGTTTTCAAAGGAAGCTACTATCGGAATGGTGGTCCATTTGACTCAATTCGTTCATACTCAACATCTTATGGATGGCAGAGTATTATATCTGCTAGATCTCTGGTAAAAAATGGCTCATTAAAAGAGTCAGATTGGGTAATTCTATATTTGTATGGAATGATCCATGGTTACCGGCCACTCGCCCAAGATCAGCAACATGCGAGGGGTATAATATATACCTAGAGCTAAAAGTCAAAGATCTGATTGATTCATCAACTAAATACTGGAACTGATACAATATCAAAAATCAGTAAGTCAAGGGTCTTCAATATGTGAATTATTATTAGAATCTCTTCTTTATAATTTATAAAGTCCAAGGATTCTCATTCAAGTCCAAAGCAAGATTGGTGGCAAGAAGACCATTATTTGATTTGGGGGAATTGCTGAATCTTACTCAAAACTTGAGTTGAAATGCAAAACTAAACCATCTATTGCATGTTTAACAAAAATAACTCACAAGGGTAGTGAAATTACAACCTTAACCCTTATGACCAAACAAAAAAACGCTGGCCTCAATTACTGTTTTATCCCAGAGAAGTTTACTCGAGAAGTCTACTCTCTAATAATTTCTTTACCATTAGTTAAAAAAATCAGGAAAAATAATTTGGTAAAACAATTATATACATAACAAAAACATATAGTTTTTACACCTATTAAAAATAAAAATTAATACAAAATAATCAATTTAAATAATCATAAATAAATTATGTTAGAAATCAATACTAAGTAGACTTCTCGAGTCTAATAATTTCTTTACTATTAATTAAAAAATTTATAAAAAATAATTTTGTAAAACAATGATATACTCAACTAAAACATATACAGTTAGCATCTATATAAAATAAAATTTTACGAAAATGAATCAATTTATAAGTTTCATGAGTATACAATTCAAAAGGGTTAGGGTTGAGGTTTAGGTTTTATGGTATAAGAGTGTAATTCTTAGGGTTTTCACAAATTATATATGAATCATAGTTTATGTTTTGATTAATGAATTAGAGTTCATATATTTGTTATTTTAACTGTGGTTGTCAATATGGTAAGTAAATTTATGTTTTCATCTAAGCTTTAATAATAAAAAAATTGATTTAGGGTTTAAGGTTAAGCCGACTTCCTGAGTAGACTTCTCGAATAGAATTTTGGACCGAAGTAGACTTCTTTTGTAGACTTCTCGAGCCGAATTAGTCTTCTCCAGCAGACTTCTCGAGTAGACTTCTCCAGCAGACTTCTCGAGTAGACTTCTCTAGTAGACTTCAAAAAGAAGACTTCTCCAGTAGACTTCTCGAACATACTTCAAAAAGAAGTCAAAACGCCTCTCTCTCTTCTCCCTTCTCCCTGGCCATGAATTTCTTATCCTTCCTCTCTTGCTGTTAATCTCCTCTCCATCCTCTCTATATTGTATTCAACCTCCTCTCACTTGCAGGTTATAGTAGTGGTAAGCAAATCTGAGCTTTTGTGTTTCTCTTTTTGTTTGCTTTGTATTCATATTGCAAATCTGAGTTTATTATTATAGATTTGAGCTTATTGTTGTAGATCTAAATTCATTTTTGCAGATCTAAGTTTATTGTTGTATAAATTTTGTAGATTTTGTTGTAGTTCTAAATTTTTTATTATTGTTGCAGAGCTGAATTTTGTTGATTTTTTTGCAGATCTGAATGTTATGAATATAGTAGATTATGTTGCAAATCTAAATTTTAATATTTCTCTTTTCTTATTGTTGCAGATCTGACCTTATTTATATTAATGGTTTTGTTCTACAGATCTCAACAAAGCTCTTGCTTGTCTCCGCCGGATT